AGAGGAGAGGAGAGGGTCTCGGCTTGCGTGACAGCTGGACCCTGTGTTTGCAGCACTTTTGCCACTCCTTAGTGCTGAAGAACTCGCCAAGGTCTTGAGCAAATATTTGAGGTTTAACCACACCTGATAAGCAGGAGCAAAGGCGGAGAATTAGGAGGCGAAAGGCCTCCTTAGAGCAGGGTGCAAATGCTTTGCAGTTATTGCTTTAATGGACAATTAAATCCTCATTTCTTTTCCCTTTTTGAGGGAGACATTGACAGAAAGCATCCGGCCAAGAGCTTGCAGTAAGGGTTTGCGTGCTGATACCGGAACCACGTGGCTCCGGAGCCTTTCCCAGGACGGCTTTGGAGGAGCTGCCGTCCGCGGCAGCGAGGGTGTGGAGGGGGAAGGCTGCGGTTCTGGCTCCTTCCCCGTGCGCGGTCCAGCTGCGTCCCCGCTGGGGACCGGCCCTCCCGCCTTACCCGGCGCCTCCTCGGCGGCTCTCCGCTGGCCGTGCCGATCCAACCCTGGGCCGGGATCTCCACGGGGAAGGGGCTCAGCGAGGAACTTTTGTACAGACTTGTGCTTTTGCTGCTCATCAAGCTTTATGCCCCAGAGGTCTGGCTGTTCCTCACGGTAAACAGGGTCTGCGGCTCTTGGCAGCCTGGAGGCGGCCGCCCGCCCCGGGCCGCTGCCGTCACCCGCCGGTGCCAGCGCAGGAGCCGGGCACACAGCATCAGCTGCCAGGGAGCTCAGGGCTCTTCAGAGCTGCAGCAAAAAAGGGTTTCCTCTCTCCAATAAACAGCTTTAAGAAGGGAAACTTTCCTGAACTCCATGGCAGAGTGAGAACCAAGGAGCTGAAAACAAAGCTGGGCACGTTCAGGCTAGAAAGGAGGTGCGCACTTCCAGCGGTGGAGGTGATTAACCGCTGGAACAGCTTCCCTGGGGAGGTGGGGAATTCGCCATCGCTGCAAGCCCTTAAATCAAGTCTGAGTGTCTCTTGCTAAAAGGCGTCTTCCAGCTCAGCCAGAAAGTACGGCCTTGTTCAAGGAACCCAGTGACTGACGCGCTTCGGGCACGTGGGAGCACCCCCTTGTCCTGGCTGTGAGCCTTCACTGGAGGTCGTGGGGCAAGCGATGCTCTGTCAGATGTGTTACCGTATAACTAATGGCGAGCGAAGGGGCTG